TGTGGAGTTGTCAGTGTCTAGTGAACAATTTTTAAAACACGGATACTGATCAGAGATTGGGGGAAAAAAATCCCATATTTTCTAACAAAACAAACTAATGCTTATACTTGAAAAATTGAAATTTCTTTTACTCTTAATATACGTTACATATAATTCATAATAAATCCTGGACAAACTTTTATCAGTTTGGAGCAGGTGCGTACGGTTGAATAAATAAATTGAGTTTTGAAGCGATGAATGATGAGCGCAGGTTTTACAAAAGAAGAGATCGGAGTCTGTTCAATACATGTTTAAAAATATACAAACACGCCGGGTCTAAGAGCTAGATACTATACCTTTATGTCTGGGTATTACAAAGCATGCTTGTCTGAGTAGTTATGTTTTTGGGGGTAAATGAAGATTAATCTTGTTGTAACTGCAAGAAATCCCTTTGCCATTTCATAGAGGAAGAGGATACAAGGCAGGATGCAGACTATCAACTCTAAAGGTACACCTGGTTGCTATGGAAACATACTTTTTTATATTAAAGATGAAAACGTTTACTATCAGCTTCTGTGCAGGAGGAGCACCTGACAGAATTTTCTATTGACTCAGCTCGTCAGGTGTATCACACAACTAATTTAATCGTTAGTTTTAGTAGTTACTTCTATAAGCAATGTATCTAAAAACTGTATTTGTAATACAATTAAAATAGATAAAAATAATTATTTAATGATTTTGCAAAGGTCCACACTCATGAAATAATAATAACCATATAAATTTATTATATAGTAAAGAAACGATGCGTGTTACTAATATTAGTATAATGGAATTATAGAACAATGCTGCTAGGCTTACCATGCCTGTAACAACTTGATATCACTGCATCAATTTAAATTGAATTGCTATTTCACATAATACTACACCAGAAAAAAAAAAACAAAAAAACGTAAAAGTTGCATAATGTTAAAACTGGCGAAGAATGCTCTTCTTTAGGTTATGTGATGAGACATTGCAGTAAATCTAATTATGTTTGTAAAGACTTCAGTATTAACTCTGCGATATGTATTTTTAGAAAGAAGAGTGCTTTATTTACGTCTTTGTTGTCAAGCACAAAACTACGCAGTTGGCTATCTGTGCTATGTCAACCGCAGGTATCGAAACTCAATGTTTAGCTGCATAAGCCCTATAGATTTGCGTTGAGCCATCGGGAAAGAGGGCAAGAATACTGAAAAATAACGTTTTCATTCCACCATTTTTATAGTAGTCTGCTATTGACGAAAGTATTCGTTTACCAGACAGAGCTCGTCAGTTTGGCTAAGTTACAACACTAAATGCCTTAGTTGAAACACTGATAATTATGTACATTGTCTCTTGTTGACCGCTGCTGAACGTGTCTTTTCTATTCAGTGCGAAAGGTCATCAGGGCATTATGTTAAATTACTTAAATTATGACATAAATAGCTTCAAACATATAAAACTAATTATTCTAGTTTGGAGGCTAGCTGTTAGCCTGTTCCTACAGACAGTCGAGCAACAATAGCAAACACTAAGCTGTTAGCAGATTTTAAGTCTTTTTTTAAATGATTTTTGTATTTGTATTGCAGCTAAGCACAAAAAAGTCAATTTTCACTAAAATGACGTATAAAATTGAAAAGCGAATTGAGTGGAAGAAATGAACTGAACTTATGGGTTTTCTTTGAAAAAATGCAAAATTGTGTTCCTGCTCCGATTTATTCTTAGCTTATAGGCTATCTGTAAGTCTATTCCTATTTATTCTTAGCTTATAGGCTATCTGTAAGTCTATTCCGATTTGGTCTTAACTTGGAGACTATCTGTAGGTCTGTTCCGATTTGGTCATAATTTGCAGATTAGCTGTAGTTCTGTTCTGATTTGTTCTTGATTTGGAGACTAGCTGTAGTTCTGTTCCGATTTGTTCTTAGAGACCCATAACTAGCCTCCAAGCTAGAACTAAATCGGAGCAGACCCATAACTTAGCCTCCAACTAAGAATAAATGATAAAGAAAATATTTGAAATGACACTGTGTTGAACATGATGTACAGAAACTTGCTTCATCGAGACTATTTCAATAAAGTATTGTCTAATTTTCAATTATATAATTTAGAAATTTTCTGTTACACTGAATACTCATTATATATCCTTATTCCAGCTCTGCTAAGCAGTAAGTTTAAAAGTATTGAATTATACAGATAATCATTCTATAGAAGACTCCTGTGGCTATTAATGAACCAAGTATTTCGTCTTGCTGTGTGCGTAGAGGAAAACTAGATAAGAATAAACTCAATTTTACAATTATATAGGCACGACGTGATGCAAATAGCATCTCATCAAACTGAAAGAAGAAATATAATAAACGTAGTGACAGAGATCATACAGATGTGACAGAAATATGTTACCGTTTTTCAGAGAGGGTTTCCAATATATATTTGATGTTAAATATTATAATCTCACAGCAGAAAAATATCAGAGATCTTATTCAAAGTCGAATCTAGCCCCGGCTATACTGATTTTATAGTACATAAGCCTTCTTTGTGACTCTATAGATGTAAAATCATTGTACTATCCTATTCATCTATCATAACTCTCCTGAAAATGGATATGCCAGAACAAAATCCATAAATTGTTAACAATTTTAAAACTTTAGATTATATATATATATAACAAACTAACAAAGGAGATATGAGTTACTATATACGGATATATATATATAGGTCTTCTTTTGAGGTGTTCAAAGTATAAAGATGTCCCCTCCGAATTTTCAGATACTACTTTTTTACACGAAGGAAATCAATTACGAAAAATATGTCATTCGGTGAAAACTATCGAAGAAGTAATACATACTTAACGAAAACTATTAAATATAATTAACCTATTGTTTTTTGGTTTTTGAAGATTTGTATCATCATTTACGTCTGGCATGGTCTTGTAGTTAGTGTGTTCCGATGGTTTATGGTGTGCTCGTGGCCAGTTGTCGGACAAAAGTAGCCCGACAGTCTAGGGTGAATGTTGCTGACTAACTACTTTCCTTCCAGACTATAAGTTCAGAATTAAACTGCTATGCAGAGTTGTTTGGTTGGTTGTTGCTGAGCACAAAGCTACACGACATGCTATCTATGCTTCAAGTATAGTTTGTTTGTTTTTAATTATGCACAAAGCTACACAAGGGTTATCTGTGCTCTGCCCGCCATGGGTATCAAAACACGGTTTTTAGCATCGTAAACCCGAGACTTGCCGCTGAGCCACTAGGGTGCACTATACGCAGAGATTCTGAAACAAAAAAAAAAGCACCACCAACTAATCATTATGTTAAAATGAGACCGGTCAGTTTCAGATTTCATTAATGTAGATTTTTCTTTAATTATATCAGGTTGACAAATTTTGAAGAAACAGGATTCTATACTTAAAT